TAGCAGGTGGGTCAGGAGAGGTCTGCCTCCCCATGTGGGTTACCTCCAGGGTGGGGGATAGAACTCGTGCTTAGTGGCTTTGGAGAGCTTCATAATGTGGTGATTAAACCCGTTGCACCACCAGAGAGAGTCAAATGCAGGTTTTAAAAGAAGATAGATGAGTGGACTTGGTTATTACAAAAGGAGAAAGATTGTTTTAGGTAGAATCACCTTTCCTTTGGGGGAAGTCAAAGGAATCTCATCGTGGAGATGACTAATCTTAGTTGTGCTTCATTTATCATTTTGTATTTCCCATTTAGTAAACTATCAGGCACAGTGGAATGTCCAATTATTTTTCTCTTTGCATTTCTGAAAAGAAATATGATCTTTCTGAATTTTTCAGTGAATCAAAATTCACTTAATGGAGAAGGACAACCAGGAAATAATTCCTACAACAAGAAAAAAAATAAAGCAGGTAATCTAGAAGTTTCTGAGTCTTAATTTCATATACAGAAGTGAAAAGAGAGCTCACTTTGCATTAGCTATTTTTCTCACTACTACAACAGTATAGTAAATACATACGGGGGTTTTATAGTCAGAAATTGGTGATAAGCTTATTACCAAAAAAAAAAAAGTTATTACAGGCAAAGCCAGTTTTTCTCAGGGTAGGACAGAGGTCTCATCATGCAGAAGAGTATTGTTGAATAGGAGACATCAGGATGAAGGGTTTAGAATCCTACTTTGTACTATTCTTAGGTGAGGTTTTTAGTCTTGGTGGATCCTGCATGAAGACCTTGGGGGCTATTGATTTTGTATTTGAAGTTTAGTCAAATGTGTGAGTGTGTGTATATATTACATTGGAGATATATTTTCTTTTTTATTTATTTTTTTCATAGAAAAGCTGTGGTGTCAGAGGTGCAGGGGCTGAGAGGATTCACCAGAGACAGAGTGGGGAGCAGAACAGGCAGATCCCGTGAGATACTGCTGAGGGGAGCTGTCAGAGACCATTCCAGATATCAGATATTGGATGACTCTCACTTAGTGTCAGTACAGGATGCAGGGCAAGCTAGATTCCCCTAATAGCAGCATAACTTGGTCACTCATATTTTCTGACATTCTCCCCTTTCTGTGAGCAACCAATGGGGATGAACAGATTTTGTTGGAAAGAGGGTGAACTCCTTTTTTTCTAGCTCTATAGAATTCTAATATGATGATAACTGTTCATAACTTTAGTGATTTTGCTAAAATTTTTCGGTGTTTTAAGTCTGCTTCCTTCTCTCCTCTCTTTTGGTAAAATGAAGTAGAGTGTGTGTGTTCTGTCTCCTCACAGAGACAGGGATGTGTACTTTCTGGAATTCAGTTCACCTTAATGCTTTTGACTTGAGCTAACATAGAATGAATAATGACTATAGATCAACTTGCTTTCCCCTATTTTAGGTGTGAGCTGGGTTGTGTAGTTTACTACACATGAAAGAAAAACTGAACTCTGACAAACATTTATGATGATGCCACAGGTATACTTTTCTCTTTCCTAGATCTTCCTCCTCTATTTTTATGGAAAGCCATTGCAGCGATTGTGGGGATCATTTGCCTGGCACTGCTTTTGTCTGTTGGAGTTTTAGCCACAAAGTGTAAGTCACTGTGTAAAATAGAAATACATTATTTTCCCCCACCCACACAGTGGAATCTGTTAGAGATAATGCAATTTTGATTTGCTCTCTTCCATGCACAAACATAACATTCTCTGCCAAGACTGAAGATGAGACATACAAGATTGTACAATTATTTTTCTCTTTGAGGTTAAAAATGATCTCTCTGAATTCTCCTCAGTG